CTGATCAAAGATCGGCCTCTACTAACATGATATGTTGTTTTTTAAAACACATGTGTTCTTATTCCAGTTATTAATCTAATTTACTATGTGATGCGCACAACATACAAGTATAGACTAAATCACTCAATTTGGAACAAAACATCTCATGTTTGTTTTTCGAAAATGGTTTGAAAGATGCTACCCTCAAGTAGGCTAAGACGCGGATTTGCCACCCTCAAGTGGGCTTAGAAAAACAAGATTTTGCCATTCTCAAGTGGGCTTAAAACGCACATTTTGATGAATTGTTCCAATTCAAGCAATGAAGCCTTCATCCACAGGCATTTATGCAGTTAAACACTTAAGCAAATAGCCTCATGACAAGCATGCTATCATGACAACACTCGCACTCATGCAAGGATGCTAAAGCGTAAACACTTACAGTGTCCTCCGAGGCAAAACAGAAACTAGTTAGAAATCATGCATGATCCTAGCTATGTTAAGATGCCTAATGCAACACATGCAAAATGCAGTTAAATAGGCTCGGCTATCTAAGATGGCATATGAATGCAAAAATTAATACATGTATTCAAATAGGTATTGAAATACAATGCAGTTTGAATGACGCGCCGAGCCCGGTGCATGCAAGACAAATGAATGATGCAAACATGCAAAGCATAAGGTATGCTAATTGAAATATGTCCTAAACTAACCATCAAAAGCGGATAAGTAAAATGGAGAAAGGCGTGGGGTTGGAAGACATTCACACACACACTCACACCTATTACGGCATTTGCCCTCTCGACGGAGGGTCCGAATAAATAAGCGCTAACTAGCTACGCTAAGATAAACTACTTATTACAAATCAACTAATTAACTAATTTAGTTAATTAATTATTACAACGCAAATGAATTTGAATAACTAGCTAATCTAAGCTAATTAAATACAAACCAAATTAATTAATTAAACACTTAACTAATTAATTACAAAATAACTAAGCTAATGAACTAGTTTAGCTAAGAAATTTAAATAGATGGCCTCAGGAAGCGAGGGGGATATGCATGTTCAGTCAGCTTCGCTCGGAAATCCACTACCGTGCCTCATGATGCCTCTGTTTGCGCTCTTTTAGACCTTTGAAAATCATGCCAACTTCCAGACTGCTTCTGTTTGATCTCAGGAACATACTGATGGATGATTGGCTAGAAGTGATGGCCATTGGCTAGTACTGGTGGCTGGTTGGCAGATTTGATGGCTGGTCAGCTTCTCTGGTGGCCGGTCGGCCACTTATTCCCTAAATTTCCTCCTTTTGCTACAGCAGAGCACAAACAGAGGCATGGCAGTGTATTTGCAAGGAAATGTGTGTACCACCACACTCCTTATCATTTCTCAAGCTCAAAGAAGTGCGGTACTCGACTCTCGGGCCACCAACCGAGCATCGCAATGCACGATGGCCGAGAAGCCAGGTTTGTACAAGTCAATGAATGCACAAATAACACACAAGACTCAAGAGGCCTCCACCCTATCATGCACAATCAAGGGGGACGGCGACCGAGAAATGAGGCACGTTTCATCACTTTGAGTATGAAACGCCTCTCGTTTCTAGTGTTTGGATTAACGTCCGATCAAAACACATGCAATGCAACTCAAACATGTTATCTTGACATGTTTTACTTGGTTCAATTTTGTTTACTCATTTTAGATTACCAATCCATCCTTTAACCGGTTAAGTCCAAAAGTGAGAAGTCCTCTAAATGGAAAGACGGACTAAGCCACAAGCATCTTGAGCATGAAAGAAGCATCACGCTGTTGGTTAGTTGAAACCATCAAGAAAAGGCTAAAACCATTAGGCATGAACGCCTCGATTTCATGCTCAAACCAACAAAGGGCTTAAAACCTCTTTCAAAGTGATATCACAAATGATGAATGGGATGCAATGACATATATTCCAACACTGAAATGGCATGCAAAATGACTTGAAATCATGCAAACAAACCATGTAATGCATGTTGAAAGGCTTAAGCATCAAAGCTAGTGAAGTGTATTACACTAGAGGCATGCAAGACAATGCTCAAATGGCCAAACCAGCCCCAAACAGGCCTCAAACATGCCAAAACAATGGCCAAAATGTACTGAGATGGTAACATGAAAAGCAAGAAAAATCATGTTCATGCATTGGCTCATAAACAAGGCATAAGGCTCAACTCTCAAACACAATTAAAGAGTGATAAACATGAGAGTATGACAGAGAAATATGCTCTAAAATCATGTGTGAAATGATGTCATGGCATGAAAACATCTCAAACAAAGCATGCTAGAGGCATCAAAACACAAGGCTAGCAAAGCCATTTGCACTATAGCCCTACAAGGCAAGCCTCAAAGGCCTAAGACCATTCAAAACAGTCCTAAAAAAAGTCAAAAAATTATCAAAAATGTGCTGGAATGGAGCCAATGCATGCTAAAATAATAGGCTACAACATCAAGCATGTTAATTTAGTAAGCACGATTTGCACTACAAGTACAAAATGCAAGCAAGAAGTGACCAAATCAGCCAAAATCAGAGTTATAGCATGCCAAAATATCCCCAAAAATGGGCTGAGACTAAGCCAACACATGCTAGAATAACAAGCTAACTCATTAAGCATGCAACAAGTGATTGAACCAACTAAAAATAGAGTTATAACATGTTAAAAAATTCACAAAAACATGCTCAAACTAAGCTTCAAGAAGGGAGAAATACATGTTCATTTGATAGGCCAACAACACATGCTAACAAGACAAGAGGGGGGGGGACCACCCCCTCCTATTTTGAGCCTCAAAATAAGTTTTTTACCACTGAAATTCCTCTGGAATTCAGTGGTTTTAAGGCCAAAATAAGTTGTTTGAAAAGCTTGAAAGATAGCTCAAAAGACCTTACAAGCCAAGGAAGACAATCCCCTAGCCAAACAAGGCACAAACCAATACTTTTAGGACTGAAAAATAGAGGGAAAATAGAGGTTTTTGTAGTTCAACACCATCCCAAAAATAGCCCCAAAGTAGTGTGAAAAGATGGCCAAGCAAGCATGCAAAATAAGCTAAAAGGGAGAAAGTTCTTACCCTTGATGCATAGCTGCAAAACCAGCCCAAAATCTGAGCCAAAACCACCTTTTGGAGCTCAAACAAAGTCCCAAGGAATCTCATCCCAATGGTGGTCAAGTTTGATGAAGGATGCCTAGGCAAACTAGAAGTATTTCTCTACTTCAATAGGCCATACTTTTGTAACTGAGGTACATTATGCATAAAAATTGCTCAACTTTTTGCTCTCCTCATGTATTTATCTTCTTTGATTTCATTTCTTCGTTTGAATGACTGTAATGATATCTTGTATAATAGCCAAGATAAAACTACTCGGTTTAGCTTGGTCGTATTAAATTTTCACAAATGTGAAGTGTACTTGGACATGCTGAGCTAATTTCTGCTTAGACAATACAAACGTAAAATAACTTTGCACTTAATGGGCTTAGCCAGTTCAAATATGGGGAAGTACAATGTCCCCCTGAGCAGATATCATCTCGGCAAAAAAAGTAATAAGTTTGCTTTGAAATTAAATCAGTTCCTCCCCATCGGTTGAGCAAAATCAGCTCGGGGTGACGAGCAAAGTCAGCTCGGTTTCAAATCAGAAGTTCTATAAAACACCAAACTTTCTTCCCGGTCAAACAAAATCAGCTCGGGGGAGGTGAGCAAAATTATCTCGAATTCAGCGCGCAAGATCAACTCGGTAAAGGATGAGAAAAATCAGCTCAGAGCAAGCGATCACAATTGGGGATAACACCAACTGTTAGCACAGCGGGCAAAGTTAGCCCGGATTGAGCAAAGTCAGCTCGGTCTTTTACCTTAAGCTAGTCCTAACTTTCTGCAAGGTGCACCATTGCAACTAAGGCTGAATTGCCCCTAGTACTTAGTAGCTTAACGCAACAATTTAATACAGGAAGGGGGGAAGGATAAACATAAGCACATAACATAGGAGAAATAAGTGGCTTTTTTCCATTGCTCGTCAAACATTACATATAATGCCAGTAGGCCAAGTTTGAATAAAGGAAAAAAAATTCAATTTTAGAAGTAATGCAGTTTGAGGTTGGCCGTATTCCATGGTCTTGGGATAGCTTTGTTATCCAAGTCCTCCGGATGGTATGCCCCTTTGCTAGCCAGGCCGATTATCTTGTACGACCCTTCCCAATTTGCACCTAATTTGCCCTCTCCAGGGACCAGTGTGTTACCTATCACTTTCCTCAAGACCCAGTCCCTAACTTTGAACAAATGTGGATGCACGGACTTATTGTATTTCTTGGAGAGCTCTTGTTGATAGGTCGCAATGTGAATTAGCGCCTTTTCTCTCCTTTCCTCAGTAAGGTCTAGCTCCAGTGCACTAGCTTCACTATTTAAGTCTGGCTCGAAGTTTTCAGACCGGATGGTTGGCATGCAGATCTCCAAGGGTATGACCTCCTCTATGCCATAAGCTAGGGCGAATGGAGTTTCCCCGGTTGAGTGTCTTGGGGTAGTCCGATATGCCCAGAGCACATTGGGGAGTTCCTCAACCCACCTCCCTTTGGCTTTCTCTAGTCGTTTCTTCAGCCCGTCCAAGATAGTCTTGTTTGAAGCTTCAGCTTAACCATTTGATTAAGGGTAGGCCAGTGTAGAATTGTAGAACTCAATCTTCAACTCTTTGCAAAATCCGCAGAAAAGTTTCCCATTAAACTACATACCATTATCTGAGATGAGGGCCTTTGGGATGCCAAACCAAGTAATGACATTCTGCCAGACGAACTTCTTTTCA